GTCGTCTCGAAACTACTCGACGAATACGAACAGTCCGGTCATCAGGATAAGCCCGCCTTATTATTATACGAGAACCAGCTGAACGACGCTTGGGATCAGTTCGACGCTATCCACAGCGAGCTAGTAGATTTAGACGAGGAGGAATACGCGCGCCTCTTCGATATAACGAACCAGTATCACGATATAGTAGTACGGATAAAAGATCTCATAAACGGCGAATCAGCCACTGTTTTCAAGCCGACATCGATTGCAATACCGAGAATTCATTTGCCTACTTTTAACGGCACCATCGAGGATTGGCATTACTTTTACGACTTCTTCTCATCCATAATAGATCAAAACGAACGACTGACACCGGTACAAAAATTCCATTACCTCCGATCATGCTTGACTGGAAAGGCCGCGCGAAGCATCCGGTCGTTAAAAACCACACATTTCAATTATACAATCCCTATTGACATTCTTAAGGAAACATTTGGCTGCCACGGTCTAGTCTGTATGCGCCACTGGCACTTGATCTCCAAGTATCCGAAAATAACCAAGGAAACACCCGAAGCCGTAGATGATTTTCTCGAAACGGTCAAGGTGAATCTCCGGGCGCTAGAAAAATTAGGCCAACCTATCACATCAAATATCGTCCTTATCGAGCTGATCATATCAAAGTTACCGTCGTCCACCATTCGCGACTGGTACTGCACCTTACCCGACAAAGAAATGCCCCCTTATACACATCTGATAGACTTTCTTAGAGCACGGACGAACTACATCAATTTCACATCAAAGCAGACGAAGGGGACGTTCTAGCAACGTTCCCGTCAACAACAATACGCGCCACGAGGATACGCATTTATCACATCCCATCTGGATGTGTGACATCTTCGAAACCAAATCCTTCGAGAGGTCAAACTAGTATCCGTATGCATCAACTGCCTCCGGAAGGGACATACAGCGCGAAAATGCCACTCCGGGTCATGTCGGGCGTGCGGAGAGCGACATCATACGATGTTGCACAGGGCAAAACACCACTCAGAGTCTCGTTGCAGCCACCCAGTCCAAAATCCTCTCCATCAAACAATCGATCCACAACACCTTCCTTGCCACCCTATTCATCACCAACTTGCCACAGAAGACACACAACAAACCACAGATCGGAGACAACAGCCTCATCTCCAAGCCCGTCTTCCAGCGACAGACGAACACATGACCAATGACGCCAACAATCAACGAATCCGCTGACGACCGAACATACTAGACCAGTAACATCCAAATCATTACCCAATGATATAGTCATCACTGCGCAAATCAACATTTTGAATGATAAACGTCAACCAATAAGTTGTCGAGCATTGCTCGACACCGGATCCAGTGTAACGTCAATTCACATCAGAGACCAGGCTACACACCGCGGACAGGATGGCACCCAGATGTCTGCACATCCTTGGCGCGTACCCTCAATAGTCTTAAGTACCCACCAGGGGTCTTGGAATTTTCATAGTTAAGGTCCTTCGGACCAAGCGAGTATCTCTTATCTTAGATCTCCTTTTACGTTTATTGTTTACCACGTGTTAACATGGGAAGTTGGTTTTCCTCACATCTGGTATGTTCCGTTAGCAACTTTCTCACGAGGGCGGCTAAAATCCTTCCTGGTCCACCAACCGTCTTATTATCCAATCGGAGACGGTATCTATCACTTCCTTAACCAAAATTGTCATCGACAAATCCGATAGTCCCGTGTCCTTAGACACACCCACCCCTAGCCTTCCTCAGACACAGTATCGTCAGTAAGACTTACTTATTCTGTATCCTTAGAATAGTCAACATATCCTTACGGGTCTCTACCCTTATAACAGTCGCGTACTTAATGTATCAGTGTAACTAAGTCTTACATAACGTGATTGGAGTGAATTGTGATTTATGTTAATTCAGTGTGTATTACATTGTGATTGCTGAATTCATAATAAAGTTTAATTAAAACAAAATTAATAGTTGTGTTACGACTCAGCTATTTTATTTCATCAATCAACCCTTAAGTTTACGAGACACCAGTATGAATTTCATTACCGAAAAATTGGCGAAATCACTTGAAATAAAGCAAAGCAAATGTTCGGTCCCAATTGGAGCTCTAGACACCTTGACGATGACTTCTAAGTGATACATCACGGCCACGATCACTTCCACTGACGGCGCATACGAACGAGCATTAACGTTCCTGGTTATCCCGACCATTTCAACCTTAATTCCAAACGAACCCATCAATCGTTCGACTCTTGAGATACCCAGAAATCTCAAATTGGCCGATCCACGATTTCATTTACCAGCCCCGATCGATATCCTACTAAGCTCAGGTTCAACACTCGTCTCGATGTGTGTTGGACAAATCAACCTAACTCAACCTAACGCAGCCGTAACTACGTCTGCTAAAAACGCGATTCGGTTGGATAATCGGGGGGAGTCCAACTTCTCAAACCGCGACAGACACATTTCACGCATCCACGACGGCTCTGCAAGCAGACCTCGTGCGGTTCTGGGAAATCGATGAAGGACCCCCGATCAAACACATCTCAGAGGCAGATCGACAATGCGAAGAACACTTCCAAGCCCACATCCGACGCACCAGCGAAGGACGATACATTGTCGCCATACCATTCAACGACTAGCTTCAATCACTCGGTTCCTCCAAAACGATGGCGATTAAACGACTCGCCTCTCTCAACCGCCGATTCCAGCACGACAGACGCTTCAAAACGGAATATCGAACGGTATTACAGGAATACCTGGCATTGGGACACATGACGAAGGTCAACACCAACCACTCCGACGATAACGGATACTACTTACCGCATCAAGGCATCAAGTCAAACCGCCAAACTCCGTGTAGTCTTCGATGGATCGGCACCAAGCACCACCGGAATCTCCCTAAATGACACTCTTCATACAGGACCCAAGCTACAGGAAGATTTACGTTGCATACTCGTAAGATTCCGCTCTCATCAATATGTACTCACTAGCGACATCGAAAAAATGTATCGGCAATTCTTCGTACGACCAGAGGACCGAAAATATCACGAGGCATAATGCGCATATCAGAGAAAGGTATCGTCGCGCTGTTTCCCTTCGCTTTTCGCGCGTCCTTCGGAGGACGTAGTTTCCAATTTCAAAAAATCATTGTCTCCTTTCTCCGCGGTGTCGCGTGCCTGTGGCCGTAAAGGAAATTCAATCGGTGGAAATTATACACTTCGGATTGCGTTAGATCGATACCGCTATGAGCAATGATAAACAGAGTATCGCTGTTTTTAATGGAATTTCTATTTATGTTATTGCGGTCTGGCAGCTTGGTTGTGATATGGATAGAGGTTTGTTCTATTATGAATTATTTTGTATTGGATTTTATAAAAGTTTGTTTGTGTTATTTGTTAGATGGTTAAACACTTAAGTGGTCAGTCTGTGAGAGTTACGAGTTTATTTGAGACACGTACTTTGCCCAACCTGTAATAGTCACGAATTGTCTTACTGTTACATGGACAAATTACTTTATAAATTTCGCACGTTTTTTGTCACATCTTTATAGTATTATGAACACATGAACATCATTTTTTATGTACTTTTAAGTAATAGAAAAAGATAGGTATATTTTCCGAATGAAGAGAAAACTAAACGATATTGCCAGTACATTATGAATGATTTAAAAACAGATGGGAATGAAAAATGAATCAGAAAAAAAACATAATAATATCGCAAAAATTGAGATATAGGATTATACATCTTTCATGCTTCGAGATATACAGCACAAAGTTAAATGTGTAATTTTATCGTAATTAAGATTATATTAGAATTCATTCTTTTTTTTTTTTTAATAAAATATTATGAACCAGTACCTACCCCGATCAGCATCACTAACGATCCTACTAAGTGCTTCGAGATAAATTCAGAAGTACGTTCAACTGCGCCGTTCAATTCATCCTTGTAACACGTTACACGATGTCGATTTATCGAGTACCATTACCGTCTTAATCTTCTATTGAACACCGAACGAATCATAATATCTCGAGCAGTTTGCAACTACTTTCTCTGTTGTGTCGAACAAGCTTGATAGCGCGTGACGAAATAATTAGCGGCGATAGACACGATTGCTTAACGCTTCCTTAACATGTTAATACAGTCATTAAGCAGATTGATCATGGAATAACGAGAGAAGGAAAACGGTGTATTATATACTTATTACGAGAAGCAAGAAGAAAAGGAAACTCGTAAACATAGTTAACTTTCAATTACTCGGCCGCTTACGCAATAGTTGTTTGAACGTTTAACGTCCTCCACGTCGCGACGCGTCGTAAGAATCGATTGTTGTCACGCGACCAATTTATGCCAGCCTTTCAATCATCCTGTCACTGCACACGATCGATGGTTGTTATCATCGGTTAAGCGACAATCGATCGGAAACCAGTTAAACGAATCTCCCTATGGTGAGTGATGGGTATCGTAGATAACTTTAACGTCCTCGGTTTTTGCTTTAACTCCTTCACTCTCGTTCTGGATTGTACTAATAAATTTTACTTGCGGCATTTATTAATATTTATTGCTTTCACGAGAATCTAATATTATTCAGATGCATTTTATTTTGTAACATGCGATATATTAATCTTAAAATAAAATGTGTAGCTATTCATATTTACGTTCAATATCCTATTTAATATATCGATCAAGTATAGTTTCTCTAGTTTACTTTTAATACATCTGTATTCAAAGTGCATATCTGTGCACTTAATAATATTAAATAATTTTTTATAATCGCTGTAGCTAGATTATAATAGATTTTTATGTATTTATGATAAATTTGACGATGCAAAAATACACAGGATACACATAATCAGCAAAAGTATTAAAATGTTCGAAACGAATCTCTGCGTAGGTTCCATTTCTTCAGCCGTGTTCACAAAAATGCGCAAAGACCTTTCAACAGGTTCTTTCTGTGGGTAACGAATCTTCAGGAGAATTGTTCGTTCATTTTGTTTCAATAAACCAGCCGTAAAGGTACACCGCAACATGCTTCATTTACCGGCACTATAACTCTAATCACCGTTAAATTAACTAGCATTCAACGAATTGCTCTCTCACGTTTTTCCTTCTCGTGAAACAATCACGCAACACTTAGTTCTTCCCTCGAGAACTCACAGTTCCGTCAACGATCAGCTGCAGATCCTATGTAAATTCCTACTTTAATGGGTATCATTCGACCGTCTCGAGACAACGAGAAACTCGAAAAACTTGTATAATAAATCGTAATCAGTGTTTATAGTTGTTATATTCTAATCATCTATAATCGACGAATTATTTAAGTATTCTCATTTCCCGTACTGAAAGCATTGAATTATTCAGCCATCTAATACAGGTACATATCATCATTTGTATCTTATGAAGTTTAGCTGGCTCATACATATATATTTCATTCAAAGTACCTAAAATTATTACTTATTGTATCATAATTATCGCTATCTTCAAAATTGCTGATATTTTCTCCATCATTCTGTGTCAATCGTTGTACTACTCGCATTATTATCTTGCTTCTTCTTTTATTATATGCATACATTGAACTTAGAAATTTTTATTAACGAGTATAAAAAAATTTCTCAGAATCTTCGACAGCAATTATCATCGACATCAAGATTTTTTCACATTTCCAGCTTCCTTTACTGCGCTTGGAACTATCGAAACTAATACATACTTCGTATTTATAATATTACGGACGAATTTCAATATTTTGGACCTTAATTCTCTCTGTACTAACTCATTACATAGTTATATTAAACACGCGTTCGTAGAAAATATTTTAAAGCAAAGAAAAAGGTAGGAAAAAGCGAAGCACCGAAGAAGAAATGATCTTATTAGTTGCAACAAACAAGATATCACAAGTAACAGTTCACCATATGGATCCAACGCTTGGTCTAAACAGAGATTAATAAACCAATGCTGGATTTCATCATCGAACGTCTCTCTGAATCCGATTGGCAGCCGACGCCTCGGCATCGATTCTACCGAGATTCTATTTAGAATTTAGATAGCATGGGAACGTTTCTGAATCATCGTCGATCGATGCCCTCGGGTATAACATCGTCCCTCCAGCGCTTTGTGCATCTCCGTCACGTTCGAACGGTGCCAATGCACAATCAATCGCCGGTATTCGCGTAATTGATACCCATCCACCGTGTAACAAACGACGCTCGCTACGGGATTCGAAAGCATCTTCACGACTAGCCTGATCGTGGATCATTCTTCGAGCTTCAAGATAGACACGCTTCCCTCTCCACGGTTCTGCATTTTCACAGATTAACACGTTGACTGCCACGTTGAATATTATATATTTTTCCCTGGAAGTCGTAACAGATTAAAATATATTACGCACTAATTATTTTTATGCGTATTCGTATTTTTGAGAATATTATTAAAAATGTAGAACCCGGGTAGAAAATCGTTTTACCTGTAAGGTATTATAGGATACACTTCATATTTTTTTATGTTATGTGTATTCTGAACAATCCTGTACCTTTGAAGTTCCTATAAATGCATAAAAGTCCACGGTCCAGCAACATGTCATAACGCTTAATTTTCGTTCAGTGATTTAAAACAATCAGTTCTCTGACTAAATAATCCTGTCTCGATAACTCTATATCGATATCCATAGGTATTTTTGTCACACAGATTGCCATCAACAGCTTCACGAAAGTATTATAACTGCTATTTTTAAAGAAAACAAGAAATAAAATAAAATTTACAAGCCTCGTTGCGATACAAGAATAATAATAAACAGAACGACACACAATTCTCACGTCGAGGATTCTAATAATTCTGCCCTTAAGTTCCTACGATTGGCTATGCGCAAGAGAATTGAAAACGACCGCGTGTCGATTAAAATAAGGTCGTATGAAAAGCAGTCCGTTCGATGAGCTAATGAATAACGGACGAATTAATTATCAGATGTTCATCTATTGGCAAAGGTGACACAACATTAATCGACAACATCGATCAATACAATCCTTTTTCGCAACTGATAGAACAGCCGATGCCTGTAGTCGAATAATAAAACCACGGGGGGATGCTTTCGTTGATTCGTCCTGGTAGAAAATCGTTAATTAACGCATATGAACGTAACCATGTTGGGTGGTCTGCTTGAAATACAAGCGTGTACGTCGCTCGTTTATATCGGGTATATTAATACGTCGCTAATTACCCGACAGTAGCTTCGACGAAGGCAAGCAACGCAACAGCTGTGCTGTTGTTGCCGTTGCTGGCGTCCTATGACGTCGGTTGTTCGCGACTAGCCAGGAGTAAGGTACAATAACGCGAGAAATACCGACGGCGATAATCAACCGATTCGCCGGCCAATCAGCATAAGTCAATTTTTTACGAGTAAACTGGATACCTGGAGGTGGAGGACGCGCGACTCCTCTTCAGGAGTGATAGGCAATCAATGGTCCATGTAAACTGGACGACGGTAACGACGATGCATCGCCGAGGAAACTGTTTTTTCCAATAACAACTCTCTATTTTCTTGTTTAACCTTTCTATTTCTGTTACTTTATTCTGTTTAACACTTTAACGACGGCGAACACCGACTAAAGGATTCAGAATCATAGTGGTGTAAGTCTATCCATTAGTTTTTATAGTTTAGTTTTATAGCTACTTTTTGTAAAATAGTATTCTGCGCTCCTTTTTATTGTGGAAGATAAAAATACTTGAAATTACCATTAAATATGTTAAATGTATCATGAAATATTTTCTAGAAATCCAAAAATTCTATAATACGATTGCGGACTTTAACTTAAAGTGAAATATAATCGTTCGATAGTGATCAAACCAAACTGATATATATATTATTTTCGAAATATATCCTACATATTACAAAACGTCCTATAATAAAAATAATCTAATTAGTAGTAAATATAATTACGCCATATAAGGATATATTTACATCTCAACATCTAGAAAGAAAAAGGAAGAGTCACTATCCTTCGCGAATAGTTCTACGATGCAGTATAATACACATATTACGAAGTATAATAAACATTACGTTCATAGTATTATCCTAAAACACAAGCTTGTCCACTTTCCTCTTTTCACTGTCATTCACGTTCGACTTGTGCATTTCCCACACTTATGACCCGCCACTGTCTGCTTTTTGCGCAGTCCCCCTATTTTTTTGTCTCATTCGTCGCTTTTAACCCTCTATTTTATGGTCTTCCCCGTTTTTCCTCTATCGTTGTCGTGCAATCGAATCTAATGATCTTGAAGCATAAAACGAGTCGAGCGTGAAACGGTAGAATATAATCCACGGTGATAACGAGGGACGGTCTTGTCGTCGGGGTAACTCTGAATTTTGTTCTATTAAATCAAATACTTAAAATGCACTACATTTGGATAGAGTATTTCGTTAGAATCATATTACAAACTGTTTTTCTAACTATCTCGTTCTTTTTTCGGACTCGATATTTAAAGAAGTTTCTCCTGGAAAGGAAGGAGTTCAGATGCACACGCAGGATTATGCAAAGTCCTGGTGCTATTTGAGCAAAGCTTAAAAAGAATTAGTTATCTTCTCTGAAGAAAAATTTAAAAAAGGCAACTATATTTTTTAAGTGCATATTAAAAAATTTTAAACGCAATTTATTGCAAAATAAACTTCACTTCATATTTACGTGAATTTATTTCATTTTATCCCCAGATCTCCTCTCTACTCTTTCACGAAGAGGTGCGAGGTAATAGTTCCAGGCCACAGGAACTTTACATCGGTGATTACTTTGAGGCTGTGATTGGAAATGATTTTTGCTTTTCCCTTGGAAAATGAGTAACGAATTTGGAAGCAGCTCTGAATCGATGGATCATTCAGTGAAAATCTACGTGCAAGGTGGCAATTGGTGCGACGATAACTCGGACTTGCACCCGATCGAATGGTAACGATGATAATGACGACATTGTCCGAGGTCGGTGTGCTCGATGGAATACAAAACACTCGCTGACAACATGATTTGGGCTGGATGGCGCCTTCATTCAGTACTACATATGGCCAATGGCAATGGAGACACGCACGAGATATGAAACATAATGTAGTACGCTTTAGTAATAGAACGTGCGTTGTCTATGTACGTTGTCATATTCGATAATTTATTCGTGATATACTATATGAATATTTTATACTTGCTTAAATATAGAATATTTATTCTCCAATACATTAAGCCTTATACATCGAGCCGACTCAACAATTATATTTCGTTTCATTTCATCGCTTTTCACAGTTCGCTGTTGAGTTCCGAAGCGTGCAGACGTGTGTCTAGTGCTCTCTGAAGTTCGTAAACCACCACGTGTCGCCCATCCGTCGAAAGTGAACACAGCCAAGTATTTCCTATCCTTTAGAGAAAAAAATCCTACGCTCCTAACCTCTATCCGAATACTAGCCTCATAGCCTCACGATTAGTTATTCAATTTGAATTAACTAGCTCGATGATGGCCCAGGAATCACAACCAGGCTCTCCTGAGCAAACTCATAACTGCTCCGCGCTACCTCCTCCGTGGCAAAAGTGCAACAGATCCCCCCGTACCAATGACGCCAAAAATTCTAAGAGGCGAAAAATAGAAACACCAAAAACGAACACAAACGACACCTAGAACGAACAGCCAACAATCGAAGTAAACACTCACAACAGGTTCGCCGTATTGAAATCCTCAAACGACTCCATGGAAATCGCAGACCCACCATCACACCCAAAGAAATTCCCCTCCCTCACCAATATTTGTTGATGATGTTATTGACATACAAACGATGATCAAGTCAATAGAGAAAGATATCACCAAAGAAGACTACAACCTTAAAATCAACAACAACAAAGTAAAAATTCTGCCGACAAACCCTGATGCATACAGAAAACTCATCAAACTACTTAAGACCTTGAACACCAACTTTCACACTTACTAGCTCAAACAAGAAAGAGCTTTTCGAGTGGTTCTACGCAACATCCACCACTCTGCAGACATAGATGAACTCAAATTCGAACTCTTAAAACTCGGCCACGAAGTCATCAACGTTAGTAACATAAGGCATAGAGTCTCGAAAGACCCGTTATCCTTATTTTTTATCGACTTAAAGCAAAAACCTAACAATAAGGAAATTTACTAACTAGCAACTTTCCCTCGAGGGCGACTAGCATCTTTTTCTAACCACCGATATGGAGATTGACCAATTAGCAGCAACGACAATTTCCCTTACTTACTGAACGAAGGCTATCCTCGACGAATCCGATGATCTCGTGTCCTTAGACACACCCCGTTATAGTTTTCCTCCGTGGCATCGTCGGAACGGGAAAGTCATTCTCTCTCGCGATCTTATCGACTAAAGAGTAACGTCTTTACGATCAGCAATCATTCAGACTTAGAGAACGTTCATCTATCATCCCGTTGACCGCGGATTCATTATCGAACCTGAGACCATTGTCACTAGTATCGCGAGCGCCTAATCGCCGTGGTTGATTGTCGAATCTGTGTTATCCATACTTGTGTTAATAAACCGCATCTTTGTTATACCGCAACGATGGCTAATTTCAATGAAGATTCATCAAACACCCACAACTCTATCCTCAACGCCACCCCGACACATATATTATATTTATGTTATATATATTAACGTTGGAGTTCTACCAACTTAGAATTTAAAATTCATCTGAAAATTACATAACGTCTTCTCTACAAAACCATCTGAAAAATCTATTCCTATTGCTAGTAGTTAACGAACTATAATTTTTCTCTTAAAGAAAAGAGATTCAGTCCTGAATGAGGTCAAATGCGCATCTTCAAGAACGTACTCTTCATCAAAATTAAATACGCATCTTTCTATTGTCTACGCCTACTACTTATTCTTTCAAATTTACTCAACTCGGTAGACGTATAATAGTTTCTCGTTTAGTGCAATTTGTATTATCCTTTTCGCACAAATTTTCAGGCAATTACGCATGCCATCGACGAAACGTCAAGGAGAAGTGTAGGAAGAGGAAAACGCGCAGGGCGCGCGTCGCGCCACTTATTGGATCGAATGAAACCTGCTTCGGCCTGAAGGGCGTAGCGTATGCATTATTCAAATAGCGGTACCAGCTATCCAACACCTCGCTAATAACACCGGACCCATTTTTCTCCTGGACGGCTAAGTATCCGCCGCTCGAAGCGCATCGACGTACTTTAAACGTCCGTGTTGGAATGTCAAGGGAGGTCGTAGACGCGTGGTTGAACGATAATAAAGCACCGTGGTTGAGAAAGGACGGACAGACAGTTTTTGCATAAAAGTACGCTGACTCTTCGCTCCCAAGACTGTTCACACCACGTACACTACCCCTCAAAAGTATGTAGATACTTGTTCATTTTTGATACATTGTAATTTAATAGCAAAATTACAAATAGAAAGAGCTAGGTCGATTTTTTCTAACACTTTATCAGGGTTATCGTGGAATACTATAATAAATTTACTATGCAGTAAACAATTTTTCAATTTGCAATACCGATTAGTTTGGTTAGTTTAAAATCGTGCCATTTAGACTAAATCATGTTTGTAATAATAATGGTTTATATGTACCTATTTAATATTTAATATTTTCATATTTGCGAGGATTTCTGACATTACAATCTTAATTTTATTCAAAAGTAATTAATTTATATTGTAACTCTTCCTAAGAAGTAGTAAAACCTAGCAAGTAGTAATACCCTATAATAAAGTCTCCTTTTTAGAACCATACAAATCATCCACCAAAATATTTCATCAAACCTCACTCTACCTAAAATATACATTTAATAATAAATAAATAAAGGAAGGGAAACAATGAAATCTACATGTTATCCATAGTTGTATTGCTCATTGTCAAACCAATGGATCTTTCCGCATTTAAAAATCTGTATGCAAAAATACACAGAATACATGTACGCGATTATTGTGATTATTTTAGTAAAATTTAAAACCAATCTGGAAATAATAAAACTTACAAAACATTTCATACAAACATATGTTTAGTAAAAAATTAGTATACAGCATGAATAGTCATCTTTAACATATAATAAGTTTTAAAAATGATCCCACTGATTATAGAGGTTTATCGATACACAAGTAATTAAAATACATAGTTGCATTAAATATTTCGTAGCTCCTGCATACATTTTCAAATTTGTTTTAAATACCGATATGATCACGATAATTGATTCTCGCTAAAATCCTAATGGTATTTAAAAATATCTCGTATAAAACACATGCTATGTTCCCAAAAAGTTTCTACAACGGTTCGAATATTTTCATGAGTAACTGCATAAAAATAAAAGTAAAAGTAAAAGTTGACAAAATTCCATTCCTCGTAAAGCATAAAGATTGGTTTTAGTAAAACAATGCTCGTGCAATGTTTAATCGCTACCTTGCACTTTAAGAAGCCCTTCGATTTGTCCCAGCGAAACTATCGATCATTCAACGGTAACTCGTTGTTTCGCATTCGATGCAGATAATCGTGGGTGTAATTACGCCGATCGAACAACGTTTCTCGAGTTACTTTCACACCGAGAGGATATTCTATCGGCGACCCATCGCCGGGGTATCACGCATCGAGCGACGTCGGCTATTCCGCTCACGTCTCTCATTGCACCACGTATGAATGATAAATTCTTTGATCCTATAAACTATTAATTACAACGACTTCAGACCGTCTCGATAGACGGAAGCTGTGATACGCGTTCCCTGTTTAGCCTGCGGACTGCGTAGCCGTTTCTCATTGAAGACGAAGAAAACACGTAGATTGCGTTTAAAATTGTCTTGCTTCGAACA